CAAGCAGCTCTTTGGTAGTGGGCGCCTCGTAAATCGTGAGACCAGGCACCGCCCCTTTGATTGCCTGGACCTGCGGCATCATATCGACTGTGGTCAAGAAGATGGTGCAGTCTGTCTTTTCCACAAGTGACTTTTGACCATCGAGCGAGTTTCGGGGCGATGTAAATAGCGGTACGTATCCTGTCTTCAGGCATGCTGCTAGTACCACAAGATACCGTAGATCGTTCGCGCTACGCAATGCGTAAGTATGCAACATTGATGACCGACAAGCACAGAAGATTGCCCACTCACCCCATGTAGCCGATTGTCTGGCCCACATGTTCAGCGACACCACACGTTCGCTCAATCCATCGCGACATGTTGTTCACCGCACGCGCAAGATCGGCGAACGTGACGTGGTGCCATCCTTCGTCCAGGCTGCTGCTTGAACGCGGGACTATAGCCCATGTTGAGTTAGGAACAGCCTCAGCTGCAGAGTCGATGTAATCGGCAACGGTATTTTGCTCTCCTCCTGTATGCTGCTTTTGATGTGTTGTTGCCATGGCTAAGTTTATATATCGATGCCGAATGTGGATGGTACGATGTGTTTAGCGTTGTTTCCAGGACGGGACGCGGTCAGAGAGGCAGCGACGAGTGAGATAGCTTGTATCGATGGGTCATATACTTGAGTGCTGGTTTGGATAAGTTTGAGTGATAGTAAGATCAGCCCTGGGTTCCAAATGAGATTGATGTCTTCTTTTCTGAGGGACTACGAGCTAGATATACTTCGGAGGGCGCTAGCAGGTAAGGTCGAAAGCTTATGCCAGCGAAGAGCGCGGCCGCGAAATGCGGTGATGTTTCACCGGAAGCATGTCCTGTCGCCATGCCGAACGTTGTCCGAACAATTGCGGTGGAGCATGAGGCATGAAAGTTGCGCAACATACAGCAGGGGGCGGCTCGTTAGAAACATCCATGAAGAGCCTGTTCCGTTATATGGACGGAGGCTGATTTGAACTAATCGCTGCAAGTGATTCATATCTTGTGTAAGATGCTACGCGTCATCACGAAGGGTTGAGATTAGTTGTAGTGCGCGAAGTTGTTGTGTATGGATGACGCAGTCATGGAGATCCCTGTGCCCATCACCTCGGCCGAGCGAGCGTTGTGATTATTGAGCGTGCCATGAAGGTCGGATGCTGGCGGCTACCACTCAGGGCAAGCAATCTACTCCCAGGACAAGTAATGTACTTGTACGAACGGTTGTGAGACATTTACTGTCTTCGTACATCGAACTTTAGACTCGGCGCATTCAAGCATAAGCATCAAGAAGGAACGGCCCGATGAGCGCCACGAAGCTTGACTAAGCGCTATGATGGCGCAACCCCACCTGTGATAGATCCGAGCGATACGTGCGCGCTATCGGATATGTCCCTACATCCTCGTTGATCCACCTATGCGCTTCAGTAAGCTCAGCCAGGGTTCACCAGCTTGTGATGCTGATATTACACTGCATCACGCTTTGCACAAGAAACTGCCGAAACTGTCTTCCACAGAAAGATCGTATTACGGATGGTATCAAGTAGTCGGGTATCAAATATCGCATCGAACGCCGTCTTATGCATCACCTCATCCAGCGGCAGGTGCAACCCTGGGCGTTTCCTTTTCCTTCTCTCGCCTCTGCGAACCCTTCCTACGTCTTCGCTCCGGCTTGTACACATCGTTGAAGTTGATGTTCACAGCCAGCATCTTCAATTCACCGTCAGGCGAATGCACCAGATCTCCGAGCAGGATGCTGATTCTTGCTCGGAAGTCTTCCGTCAACTGACTCAAACGCTTTTGTAGCGCTGGCAGAACATCATCTTCGGCCGAACCAGTCATGCCGATCTTGAGGAGCGGGGGTGGGAAAGGCGACTCGTCCTGGCGAGAAGCCGCACGAGAGTGTGAGGGAGCGAAGGGATCTGAAGATGAGCGATCTTTCTCAGAAAGACCCCACCGACCTGCTGCTGTACGTGTCTCGATCTTGGCCGCGTGCTCCTGTCGGCGCGTGAACTCAGCGACTGAGAATGAGTACAAGCCATCCACCGCATCCTTGTATGCCAGCATCGTCTTCAGCAACTCATGGAGCTGCCCTGTGAAGTCGATACTAGAGCTTCCGAGAAGACCTTTGCGCGTGATGTTGTTGAGGTATATCGCATGCGCTTCAATCATGTCGTCCAGCGTGCTCTCCGGCTTGTTGAGCGCTCTCTGTAGATCGATCCACGATGACTCTATGACTTCGAATAGGATGTAGTGCTGCAACTGGTTGACGAAATGAACCATCTCAGCCATTGCGCAGCGAGCTTTCTTCCAATCCGCACCGAGTTTATCGGCTACGGTGCCGAGAACACCACGCGCACCAGTCATGCATCGACGCCACGTTGAACCAAGAGCGAACTCGACGCGCTTGACGCGCCACAGGAAGTTGAAAACCTTGAGGTATTGCTTGGAACCAAATGGCGTGACGATAACATCGACAGGCGCATCAATCTTATATTCAAGCGTGAAGACATCCCATCCGATCTCGCCATGTGATAGCTCCAACATGCGTGAGTCGAGGCGACGCAGTACATCTGAGGTGTCAAATTGGGCGTTGGAGTTGCGAACGGCATGTTCGAGTTGGGCTGTGAGCGTGTGGCGGTATTGCGTGTTGGCTGGCCGATCGAGGTTGGAGGAGAGTGATTCCATCAAGACGGCAATGAAGTCGCCAGCGCCGAGCAGCATATACTGCTTGAGAGCCTGCAGATGGTCGAACAGCTTGAACTTGTTCCCCATCAGGTCGATGAGACGAGCCATGGTGGTCTTGTATGCGTCACCGATAGAGCGCTCGAGATTCGCGGTGTCGCCGTATTGGAGCTCCTTGGACGCCTCTTTGGAGTATGTGTCGACCCATGCTGCGTCTCCACAGCCATAGCGAATGAAGTTGAGGGTTTTGCCGATGAGGAAGACCTTCTTGGCAAAGTCGTCGGTAACGATGGTGGGGACCATCTTGTCGTTCAGCCTGTATTTGTCTTCCCAGACGCTCGTAGCGCCACCTTTTCCTTCGTTGCCATTCGCCTCAAGTATATCATCCTCGCTCTGTTCCGAGACGAAGAATTCGCCAAAGGGATCGGCAAGCTCGCCGTCGTAGACCCATTGCCGGAGCATGTCGTAGAAGGGTCGCGTGACATCGGAGAGAAGGCGCTCGGCAAAGTTCATGACGTACGGATCGCCGTGGTTGAGGGAGAAGGAATGTATGAGGGCAATCAGCTCGCCGCCCTTCTTGCTTTTGGATTCCTCGACCATCAAGCTCATCAAACGCAAGCCCATGGTCGGTTCTCTTATCCAGATGACGCATCGCTTGAGGGTGACACCGGCCTTGCTGACGCCCTGAGGTGTTGATGCCTCGTTCAGCTGTGCCAGCGCTCTCTTGATTTGTCCTTCCAAGGTCGCGACCAGGCCCAGGTATGCCCTTAGCTCTTTGGCTAGAGCTGCACGGAAGCTCTGCTCAATTAGGCCGCCATCGCTCGCCTCGACGAATTCGGCCAAGCCTTTGTACAGTATCGCGGGTTCAGCGAGGGTGTGTAACAGGCTGACGATGGGTACCGGAAGGGTCGTGGGAAGCTTGAGGGCGGTCGACGAGGGGAATGCGAGGTTTGTCGATGAGTAGCCTTGGAGCGTAAAAGGCAGCTCCCGCAGCAAAGTCGGCTCAGAGGGCCCTGTCTCTGCCTTTTCCACATGTCCGCCATTGGCTTGCTGCTGCTCCTTGGCGGTGTCAGGCCGTCTGCGCTTCTCTGGCTTCTCAGCTATCGAAGCTGGACGTGTAGATGTCGGTGCTTTTGGTGAGCCGGCATTCACAGGCAGCTGGGCGAGGCCGGGCTTTGCAAAGGCGTCTTGGATGGCGTGGGAGGAGGCTGCGACGCTCGGGCGCTTGGAAGGCGTCGTCGGTTCGCGCGAGAAGCTGCGGGTATCTTGGGCGGGCGGCGGCTCATGCGGTGCTTCGGCGTTGTCGGAGAGGTTGTAGAGAAAGTAGAGCATGCGCCATTTCTGGTCGAGGACGCTCTGGGTTTCTAGGCGCGAGAGAAGGTTATGCAGACGCGCGCTCTTGCGCTGGTCGTTGTTGGGGCCCGAAACTGTCACATATTAGCAAAAGACGCGTGATTCACCTCGCTGTGATTACCCTTGCGGTCTATCAGGCTGGCGATGTGCTGGACGTCGGGAACGAGTGAAGCGTCGCCCGCAGTCGTGAGCTCGTCGAGGGCAAACTCGTAGGCATCTTCGAAGCGCTGGTTGGCCTCGTCTTCGTTCTCATTGGGATCTTCAGGCACGATGCGGACCAGCAGCTCGTTCAACGCGTGTTCGACGCGCTCGCGGTGTAGAGTGGCCATGTTGGCGCGCTGGATGGGCGCGAGTCCATTGGTGTTGACCTCGGCGGGGTTGACGCCCGCCCGTGCGCGTTGCCCAACCTCGAGCCAACGCGTCACTCTTTCTTCGTCAACACCAAAGCTGGCCATAACCCATGTCGTATCCTCCAACAGATAAAACAGATGTGTATATCGTCTTTCATCATGATCAGATGCTAAGTAGTAATGGTGTGTATACAGCAATTGCTCAATGCGGCATGACTTCTCGCGAGTTTCGGTGTCACCCGTCACCCGTGTTTGCGCGTGGAATGCATCAGCGTTTGCAATTGATCAAGGAGTATCAATGTCACTATGGAGCTCTCAATCCAATCCATCGTGCAAAAAGGCTACGAGCATTTGTCCTCCAAGCTATCACCATCATCCCGCATACCAGAGTACAACTTCTATCATCAGCCCGGACCAGGACCAAGACCAGGCCCAACTCTGAGTCAAAGAAGCGAATCTCCCAGTCAACTACAGACTTTTGTGCTTTAGTTTATCTAGGCGCAGATCTTACTATCGCCTTCCAGCCATTGCACTTCCGAGCACACAGAAGAGCCACCCGACGAAAGTCCTGACTAGAAACCGACACCGCCAGCCGCCAATATGGGCACCATGGAGAAGGAACCCATTCACGCCTCAAGACGGCCCAAGCTCCTCACCTACGAGAAAATCCAAGAGTGGTCGCGAGACAACGAGTTCATCCATACCGGTTATCGCCCAGAAAAGCCAGACTACAAGGCCATCTTCCTCAGCCTGACGTACCTACACAACGAGACCTGCAACATATACACCCACTTGATCGGCGCGATACTGGTATGGCCTGTCGCATACATCTACATGCGGATCCTGGCCAACCCAGAGTATCACAACGTTCTACCGGCGGACTATGTCATGTTCACCTTCTTCTTCTTCTCTTGCGAGTTCTGTCTGCTCTCCAGTGCTGTCTACCACCTGATGCAACCCCACTCGCATAAGGTGGAACAGTTTTGGCATGTGATGGACCTGACTGGCATTGCCGTCATCATCGCTGGCACATTCGTTGCGGCTATCTACTACTTCTTCATCTGCCAGCCGGCGTTCCAGATCTTACACTGGGTTATTGTGAGCGACCCTGCGCAAATCGGTCGGTGATATGCTAATACGTTCCCTAGACCATCGTCTCGGGCTCGGCCTGCGTTGCTCTGATCTCGATACCGAAGTTCAGGACCCTGCGCTGGCGCACTCTGAGAGTTGTCGCCTTCTTCCTCTTCGGACTATCAGCCTTCGTTCCTCTACTTCATGGCGTCGGTCTTCACGGGTCCAGGTACATGTTCGATTACATGGGGATGAAGTGGTATCTGATCGAGCTTTCGTTGTATGCGACAGGCACTTTCATCTTCGCAGTAAGTGGGATCATTGACTCATGGGCTTGAAGATGTACGTGAACTGACCATCACATGCAGACTGGGCCTCCCGAACGGTTTGCTCCCGGCAAGTTCGACTTGTTTGGCAGCTCACATCAGATCTTCCACCTCCTCATCTTGGCCGCTATGTGGGTCAATTGTCTGGCTCTTACGCAGAGTTTCAAGTCGGCTCACACATTAGATTTGTGCCACTTACGGTGAGACAGCGGATCATTCACGGTCAAATACTGTAATTTGCTCGTATTTCCTTGGACCAACTGTTTTGCCGCAATCTTTTTTTCTTTCTTGCAGTAAGGATGCAACACTAGCTAGGTGCTTAATGCTGTAACTCACTGGGCCACTTTCCCGCGCCTTCACACGAATTGGCCTTCCCAATGACTTGCCACTAGACTGAGCGCACCATCAAGGGATTGGGCGAACTTCAAGGCTTCTTTGAATCGTTGAGACATGGTCGCAAACAGAGCTCATTTGCATGCGTACAGAATAAACAGAGTGCGCCTCTAACTCAGACTTGCATGCATTGTCAGACGCACGGGGGCGTCTTGCGATATTGAACACGGTAATAAACGCCTTACATCTACTGGCAATTGATTATCGCGGTACTGCTAGGCGTTGACCCATACTCCATGCAAATCCGTGTGACTCTTCGCCGGACTTGGCTTAGCGTTGGCCCTTCGCTCCACCGGAGCTAGCTGGAAGCTCAGTCGCCAGGCTGGCGATCGCCAGAGTGGCAAATGTGCCGGCTTCAGCGCACAACCGCGGATGAAACTGCTGCGCAGACTCAACATCACTCGATTACAGAAGCACTGATGAAGCTTCAACTCTACTAGATCATTCAAAAAAAATGCGTCTCCAGTTGAAATCAACATTCCTCAGACCCGGCGAGCTTTCCTAAGAACCGGAGGTGTCGCGCTTTCCCGCTCAATGCAACTTCGGAAAGCCATGCAACGGACTGCATCTATCATTCGTGGGACTCAAGAACATGTCAGCATACTCGCCGCATGTGTTATCAGTTTCAGCTTCACGGCAGACTCGATATTTGCATCGAATCGTCAAGCTCCAGGCGAAGTACCCAACTTCAGCCCGCAACCATCACTTATCTGACAACAAGATATCATTGGAGTGGCTTATGCGGGCGGCTTCGATATATCCGCAAATGGACTGCGTATGCGAAGAGCACATTTGGTCGACCAATCGTGTGTCTTGGCACACTTCGGGCCACCGTTCAATGGCAGTATCATGCCCAAGGCTGAGTTCATTGAGACCTTTTCTCAGCTCAATATGGAAATGAGGAGCTGTGGCCCCAAGATGGCTTGCATTTGGTAGCCAACAAATAGCATTCCTGCTATAGTGAGCCGGAGTGCTATATATGCTTGCGAGAAACGTGGCCTGCGGTGCTGTTCATTTCTTACCTTTATCATTCGACATTCGATCGCCCCCCTCCGATATTGACTTCTCTATACTTGTCGCATTGCTCTACAAAAGACTCCGTCAATTGATCTTTCCTGCAGATGTCAAGATCAGTAGGGATACCACAGGCTCCGCTAGCTGCATCACCAATACACGAACTAGATTCACACCCACGCAACGAACACCCCGAAGTCCTCCTTACCGCACTTTTGTCCTTACCATGTTTCCCAAAGGGACCAGCGCGGTGATTTTGGATACCGATCCGTCGGATGCTCATACTGATCAGCCGCCGACGCTGTCTGCAGTTTCCCGAATGGCTGCAGACCACTCACGAATGCACGAGCAGTTTGTTACGGGACAATTCAGCATGCTGGAAGAGCCATGTACTGAGCAAGTCATGAACAACAATGAAGAGGTGGAACAAGCAAACATTATAGATGAAAGCGACGATAATAACGGATCCAGCGACAATGATGACATACAGATATACACAGATACCGAAACAGGCCAGATGTTTGTTCAGCTGCTCATTCCGATACCTCACATTGACTCTGTAGACAAGCAATCTACACAGATTGTGATAGAGAGAGTGTCATACCATGGAATGATCCCGCCGAAAGTTGTTAAGAAGCCCACAGGGAAATGTATCGTCGTCTGTTGTGATGGCACTTGGAACAACGCAGCCGGTACTCAATACCCTGTAACGAACGTGGGGCGGCTAGCTCGGTGTCTACATCGTGAAACAAAGAACAAAAAGCCACATGTAGTATACTACAGCAGTGGTGTCGGTACTACTGCAACTCCTATCGGCAATGTGTTTCAGGGAGCATTCGGCGAAGGCAAGTGCAAAACCAATTCCCACGTGCATGTCATGATCTAACAAGCTGTAGGGCTAGCTGGCAACATCCTCAACGCGTATTACTTTATCTGTCAGAATTACAGCTGCCATGCTCATTACCTTCAACAGCCTGATACGTGGGATGAGATCATTCTCGTTGGTTTCTCCCGAGGAGGATTCACGGTTCGATGCCTGGCCGCTTTCATCGACAAAGTGGGTCTTCTGCGACGTCACGGTCTTGCTTTACTAGAGACCCTGTTCACTATGTGGAAACAGCAGAAATCAGAAGCGGACAAGAAAAAGCTCGACAAGCTTGTCGATGATCTTGAGAGTAATAATTTTCTCTTCAAACCCGGCATTAAGGTCCTGGCAGAATGGGATACCGTCAGTGCCATGGGTTTGCACATCTGGGCACCTGAGTTTTCTTTCGTATCGGACATAGTACCCAAATGTGTCGAATCGGCGTTCCATGCGATGTCTATCCACGAAAGGCGCTTCGAATTCGAACCCATGCCCTACCGTAGAGGTTACGAGGAAGCGCATACAGAGAAAACGCGGACGGTGCGACAATGCTTGTTCGTTGGCTGCCATTTCGATATAGGTGGAGGCAATGAGGATGCGGGTTTATCTATGCTGCCATTCCTTTGGATGGTCGATGCGATAAGCAGCGCTTCCAGCGCACGATTCAGCAGCCTCGCGATATTTGGGTATCACGTCCCTCTGGCGATTAATTCGAAGCTCAATCCTAGCTTGTGGCATCGCTCCAAGGATTGGGTGATGGGAAAATACCATGAGACCGAAAAGCCAGTCTATACTACCTGCAGCTCAGCCAAAGGTGAGTTGCCCAGTGCTACTTGCGAAAATCATATCCGTGTGACGATGCTTAATTCTTTCAGGGTACCTCCAGCCCTCGCATAGGGGACTATGGCAAATTTTGAAGTGGAAACCCTGGCTAGGTACATTTGTGCGCCCACGCGGCCCATACTGGACGCTCACATATGACCCCGCCTCTCATCGAACCCTTGCGATTCGATGTATGTCCGCGGTCGGCAGTCTCTTCAGCACAGTTCGCAATCTTCTTTCTGGTGCGCAAAAGCAGCATGCCGTCGGAAAACAAAAACCCCCAGAGGATGAGAGGACGTTGGCCATTGAAGTCCACTGGACGGTTCGCATGTTGCAAAAGCGGATCCCAAATGGCGCTGGATGCTTACCCGGCTATGATCTCCAAGGGCTCGACGAAGACCCCCATGGACGGGAAGGTGGCTTGCCACATTACATTTGGCGCAAGCGGTGTGACTCAAAGCAGCAGTCAAGTCCGAACGCCGACAGTGAGGCCATCTTGCATGAGTTCAGACCCAGCAAATCTGAATCCGAGCTGTACAAGGAATGGTCCGAATACGATGGAAAAGAGAAGGACAGAAAGTCCCATCGGGTAGTGTACGACAAGCGGTGGATGAATGCGTTGCGTGAGCTATCATTAAAACCAGAACCACCGGTACTAAAGGGTCGGAAGCGGGAAGAGACGATGCGAGAATGGTTCCGAGACTTGTATCCTGAAATTAATGAGCTTAGCGAGGAGGGAACAAGATTGGAGTCCGAGTCCAATCCCGAAGGAACAGCCGATGCACTGGGTCAATGATGAAGGGATGCAGAGGTGCTCCGTGACACTAGCCTAAGTTCCAAAACATTTCATGATCTAACGCGTTATCTTATCGCTCGCTGAAGCTCCCTCAATGAGACAGCCTTCTTCCTCATCTCTTCTCCATGAATCGCTTTGCATTCGTTGCCATACTGTATACCAAACTCCGGGCCCACTCGCGACAAAGTCAGGGCAACCGGAAGCATTTCATGCATTCCTGTCTCAAGAAACCGGCAGCGTCACAAAATGGTGTGTCCGGACTTGTTGGTACGTAGACGCCGGACGAGCAGCGTCAATTAGTTTGACAAATTGTCCGCGGGCGGCTGACTTGACTTCATCTTGACCTGGTGACGCCAGCGCCCGACACAGCATCTACATAGCCTTCGTCGTCGCGCTCCAGTGGAGAGACGCTGCGATTAGACACAGCGTTCACGTCGCAATCCTCATCGCCATCCACTACGGGCGTATACCCAGGGCCCAAACGAATGGGCTGCACCTTAACTTGCTTCTCCTCAACCAAGTCAATCCGCCATCGCATGGTTCCATCAGCGTCTCGAAACCATCCCATACGCGTCAACATCTTGTCCTCCTTGACTATAGCATCATAGCCCTTCTCTCTGATAACTTCAAGCAGACGTTCGCTTCCAGCGATAAGAACCAGCACGTCGGCAATGCATTCGATGTTGCGCATCATACCGCCGTAGTATTTTCTTTGCACGGATCCGAGAATGATAATCGTAATGATAAGCCAGATCAGGATGCCTGTGGCGATCCAGAACGCGACGAGATTCATCTGAAGAACTTCGACCTGGGTGCTTAATTCCGCTGTTGTTGTTGCATTGGTGTTGCGGACAATGTCTTCGAACTTTGGCGCTATGGAACCATCAGGCATGTACTGGATTGGCATGTCGTCCATTGGAGAATTGATCTTGAGCTTCGTGCCCCTGGGTTGATAAACATAACCGCCGGATTCGCGAGACAGATTGCTGTTGACAAAGTGTTGAAAGAAGGTTGAGAAGACAGTCGAGGATGTTTTAGCCAAGACTTCCGGATCTAGTAGGGCGGTAGGATCAAATCCCACTTGTGCGTAAGCGGCGTACGACATGAAGTCGAGATTAAGACCAGTTGTGTTATCTCGCATATTGAAGGCCCTGCCATCTGAATATTGAGGGTTGGGGCTTGGGTGGTTCTCGTATGTTCGGGGTGGATTCTTAGAGGAAGGCCCATCGATGTTTGCGGCATTCAAGAGCCATTGCACGAACAAGGGCCCTTAACTGTAGTGATCTGTTAGATGGAACGACTGCCATGTTTATAGTCTAACTCACCTGGTAGTTGTATTTATATTGTAGTCATAAGACTTGAAACTGCTAGCCCTCCATTCAGAGCTATTGACCTCAAAGTCAGGGTCATGATGGATGTTAAAATTGGTATAATGAGCGTCTTCGTAAGGGTTGCGCCATTGAGATGTATCAGACCAAGCGACATCCTCCCGAACAGGAATGTCGAGGATGCGGTAGTGCTGTACGACACCGGTTTTGGGCTCCACCGTAACTTCCGCTTGGCTCGACTCAAAGATAGGCATGCAGTTCAATGCCTGTATAGCGGGCGGCTCCGGAAACACAAACATGTATACATCCGGCTTACGGCGCCTACCCTTAATGACTCGTTCAACCTTTCCAGGGCCTCGGATCCATTTGACTGTAAAGTTTCCAGATGTACCATAACCGCGACTGTCCTCGGGGTCAGAGACTTCCTGCCAATTCTCCGTCCAATAAGCAACTGCGGCTGGATTGTACGTTGCGTTTCCAGTGAGATTGGCGCAGCACGGTGGAATGCTGCCTTGAGTAGAAAGCCAAGTCGTGGAATTGGGATCTTCAACGACTCGTGCTATAGTGTAATAGTTGTCTAGTCCAGTGATGTTACGTCCATATCCATCGTTCTGCGACATAAGCCACAGGCTGGTGTTTGTGGGCCACTCGACAGCACTGCATTCCAGGCGAGCACGAATCGCGGAAGTTTGGACTCTCAGGCTCTCCACGGAGCGGTCGCTCCTACCTGCTGGACTATTGTTCTCGGCTGAGGCGAAGCCTTCCACACCGGAAGAAACAGGTATGAAACTCCAATCGTCTTGGCTCCACACTGGTTTGGGGCCCTCTAGCGCAGTATGTATAATAGCGGTGTACATCCAGTCTTTTGACAGGCTCTGCAGGTTGTCCCACACCAAGTCGCCAAGGTCGCTTGAGAAACTTTTCTCGTCGATGGTGTAGTTGAACAGCCAGGTAGATTGATCTCTGTTTACCGATATTTGTTGCACGAATGGAACACTGCGCAGCTCCAATGCTAGGGGCATTTCCGAGGAGGTAGTCAAGACGCCATTACCCGAGTCAAAGAGAGCGGACATGGCGATTGTGACTTGATCACAGCTATTAGTTGTAGTTACAGCCTAGTCTTGGAATGTGCACTTACGAGCTTGGAGCAGAAACGTCGTCGTTGTAACAAGCGAAAGCAGCCAATGTCGGTGCTTTAAAGCTTTCAACGATGCGAATAGCCAGAACCATGATAGATAGGATAATGCGATGCCCTGAGAAGGACGCTTGGCATCATGTTGCATGCTGATGTAAGGTTGTACCGTCCTACAAGTGGTGTCAACGGACTCCCACCAGAGCGTGATAACAATAGCAAGCAAAGTCGGGATGACAGATAAGGGCGATACTGTGTTTGAATGACCGAGAAGCTTGATGTTGGCGCGATAGGTGAAGAAAGCCTGATGAAGTTCTGACCTCCGCGCATACACGTAAAGCACTGCGATTCCAGCAAGAAGAGCGAGGATGTAAAGTATGAGAAAAGCCAGGTTTCGTAGGCGTAGCATGGGTAATACAGGTGCGATGTCATAGGACTGCACTCTTGTTTTTTCTGCCATGTGTCAGAAGATACACCAACGGTTCCATAGGTACGTACTCTCATCATCGTCCTGGATGTTAGCCTCATTTTCTCGAAGGCTGCCATGCTTGGAATAGAAGACTTTTCCAGCAAGTTCTTCTTTCAATGTCTTTCTTGTGGCGAGGTCGAGTTTGGTGAAATTGCGCAACACTATCGCATCACCGCTGCCCCATATACTTGTACCCAACAGTGTACTGGGATCTTGGTAGATATTTAGAGTTGTCTTAGCCGCTCGCGTCTCCCACAGGATGCCTAGAACAAAGAAGCAACAGATGAGTAACAGAGCACATATAATCCACGCGGCTTGCCCGCTAACTAGCACTGTCCGGACAGATCCGAGTCGATGACCAGTCGTAGAAAGTTCTTCTAAAACTTCCGCGCGTTGCAGAGAACCACCAACAATTTCTGCGAAGAAGCGACGTCGGAATTGAGCAGCCACCACAGGCAATTGAGAATCAGCCATCATTCGTGGGATACTGAAGTTGTATGGTTCACCCAAGATCGCCGCTGGGCCCGTAAAGGGAACATCATATAAGTCGATCTCGATGTCAGAAGTCTTGGTCTCGTGGGGGACGAAATCGCTCCATTTAATGTCCGTATAAGCCTTGCGTAGTTCGAGTAAGTCAAGGACGGTCGGGGGAACTGGCGTGCCAATTTGGTGGAAAATATTCTCATCGAACTCGACGGACAATGTCCCTGATGAGGCTGTGGCACGAGCTGGGATGGTGGCCATGCTATGGCTTGTATGACATGCATATGCAAGCATCGTCATGTTTTGTAGGAATTTTTCGGTCGGCGTGATATCCTGTCTGGGCCACCACGGCGTACTCATCATGATAATCTCATTCTCTTGGCAGTGTTCATTCGATTGAACGATAGCATCTGACATGGGGTAGTCTTCCGATGTGATGTTGTTGATGTCGCTCCAGGAAATCCAATCCGTAGTAAGGACGTGATACTCCACGTCGACAGTGAGGTTAAACTGGCAACCCTCATTGGACTCTAGGAGAACAGATGCTTGATAGAACTTCTTTTCAGGCTCTTCTTCCCATCCTTCGGGTGCATGCCGGAGATACATGTCCTTCTTCTTCATATCCAGTTTGGCGCAAACTAAATCGGCGTGGAAAACAGTCGTGTTTGCCTCCCAAGTTCCTGGATCTTGAACCTTGTAGTCCCAACGTGAGCCAGTATCAACTGAATCTTGTGGCCAGAACGGTAAGATGACAAAGTCGTCAGTGATCCAGGGGGAGGAGCTATAATTTTGGAATATCGCGCCCATAGTTCGCAGATACGTATCTCGCTCAGCTCGAGGTTCTAGCATCAATCCGTTGCGCATTTCAAGTCGTGCAAGTGTCTCCGGACTTGTTTGGTGTATCTCTTTTGTTCTCAGTAGTGCAGCAGACATCGGTGAGATTCCAAGTATGGCCAGGATATAGGTGCTGCATGAGAGGATTGTAATCCAATTCCATGATCCGCCATTTCTTCGCCTTTGAAATCCTCGAGTAAGAGTTGTCCACCATGGCTTAGCCTTTTCGAGTAAAGTATAACGTGCAACTGGAATACGTCCGTCTGTTTTGCCCATTCTTGCAAAAGGTCCTGTCCGTTTCACAGCACCAAGTATGATTCCGGTTAATTGTGTATAGACGACGGCGATCAGCGTGGGTATGAACTTCCAGCCCGGTATTGCTGAATCCTCAGCACACAGCCCGTTGTTGTTATGTGAGTACCGATACAATGCGAACGTGATGGCTGCGCAGGTGATAGAAAACCCGGCAGCGGTGGTGATAAAGTACCAGCGTAGCGCAAAAGGCATCCATTGTGGTTCTGCGTGTGTGTTAGGACGAGCAGTGAAGATAAAGCCATATGAATACTTTCGTTCGCCGCCAGGCTCCACAGAGCTTACACAAGAAACATTGGAGATTAATGCGCGATGAGATCTGTGAGTATTCGTTCTGGAATGCGCTGTCGATGTTAATGGCAGCAATTGCTGAGTTTCCATCTCGTGATGGCCGTTTCCTCCGGCTTGAAGCTGGATTCCACGATGTGTGGCTTCTCTGGTATTCTCCATAGCGCCTCAAGGATGCAAGCGCTTGAGAAGTTTGTGACGATTCGTAGTTCGGTCGAACTGTTGGACCGTATCGTGAGATGAGCAAGGCTGAGGAGTAGGGATTGATGCATGCTGACAAGACTCTGGGAGGGTTGTTCTCGTTGGTCTCTTGCCGTCTGCAAGTAAGATGTGACGTTTCAGGCGGCCCGTGTCCGGAGCGCAGCCAGATGTATGATTCAACAGGACTTGGCACGCTCGGCTTTGAACGCGGACCAATAGAGCGAGGACCAAAATTACTTCGGTACACAATCGCTTGCATTGATCTAACACTCTAGGGAGGGTTCGCCGCACCACACTTCAGCGAACATCATCAGAGTTATCGCAATCATACCGTATACCAGAGTAACATCTTAATAACTAGCCCGAACCAGGACCAGACCGCAGTCTGAGTTAAAGACCCACTCTATCTATTCAGCATTCGCCGGGCTGGCGCATGGTGTTTACAAGAATAGACATTCAACCGCCCCCACGATTAGGCGCCCACCCTTTTAGCCCCACCTTCTCTGTCTCTCGCGCTCTTTCGCGAGGGAACTTTGGTTGTGTACATTGGAGGTTTTTGGCCCCACCTCATACAAGGGAAAAAACAAGCAATCCAGAGCATGCGTTAATGTTGCGCCACCCAATTTGCCCGGGTTATCTCAATGTAGGCTCCAAAGTGTTCAGCTCCTTTGGTAATATGTTGTTTGGTGTACTCATACGCATGGAGATACTCTACGAAAGAGGGAAGTGTCGCATCTCCAAGAACCTCTTTGGCGTACTGACAACAGCTCCTCGCCCGTTTGAGACTACATGGCTTCCGAGCTACCAGTGTCAAAAGTCAAGATATGGTGTGTTGCGTGATAGGAAAAGGTGTCCGGCTTCTCCCTTGAACAAGGTGCCCCCTCGCTTCAAACCTTCTACCCCCAGCGCTACCCACAACGTGCCTGCCTACCTAGGTATCTCCGCCCCCGCACCTACCAACTTGCGGCTGAACCTGGCACTGGCGTGCAGTCGTGACGAGATCCTATCCCGCACGAAGGCGACCCAGAGACGGCGAGCCAACCACACCTCCCGCATTTTATACGACTCATACGCGAGGAGATGCTCTGCGAAAGAGAGAAGTGTCGCATCTCCAAGAACCGCATTTCATACGACTCATACGCGAGGAGATACTATACGACAGATAGAAGCATCGCATCTCCAAGAAACTCATCATTTCCCACAGGAATCGAAGCCACTGCCTAACTCTGAATAATCCAACAATGACGCAGCTAGACAGTGGCACGAGTGAGTCAAGATGCGCGTCGAGCAGTACTCAACCTTGGGAGTACCGTCAGCGAGTACGGGCAAGCGCAATAGGTCTGATCCAGGACTTTGTGATGCCGCGAAGCACGCCCCCGTCATATGTAGAGGAAATAGTGATCTTGTGAAACATGAATTCAATACATCAATTCATCCAAAACCCCAACAACCACCCCCCACCCTAAGCATCCCTAAGCATACTAGCAACCCCCGCCCAAGTCTCCAACACAGTCGGTCTTATCTGATTCGCCGGCAGCGTAAACCCATACGTGCCCTTATCCCTCAACTCGTACGTGTAAGAATACGTCGCATTACCCGTAACATCAGTGTAATCCGTCGAAGAACCAGTTGTAGCATAGAGAGTCGCGCAGCTAGGGCCAATGGTGTAAGCAGTACCGGAGACGGCGCGGATAGCGGACTGGGCGCGGGTGGCGATGGAGCGGTGCTGGGCGTCGTTTTCGGCGCGGAGGTTGCAGTCGTAGCCGTAGGGCCAGAGGATGTATTGGCCGTAGGAGCTGGGGGTGTGGTTAGTTGGTTGGTTGTTTGGAGTGGGAGGGTTGGTGGGAGATTGGAGACGTACTGCACGTCGAGGTAGAGACGGATACCGCGCGACGCTTTGAGCGAGTCGACTTGCGCTTTCAAGCCGCGGAGCTCGGGGGCGTCGCCGGCTGCTACGCCTTTGTAGGTCTCTGAGCAGGGGTTTGTGGAGGCTCCGCCTGTGACTTCCCATTTGTAGGGCCAGTTACCTTGAAGAGGCGTTAGTGATGTACGCATCTGTGAAGGTGAAAGAGGACTTACGGTTGATGTCACGGCCAACACAGCTGTTGCCGCTCACAGTTTGCCTGTTCTTGCGCCAGAGACGGTCGGTTGTCTGGGAGTAGACGAAGCCATCTGGGTTGGCGATGGGTGTGATGTAGAAGTCGAACTTGTCGACGAGGGACTTGATGTTTGCGTCCGAGCCGTACTTGGTGAGTAGTTGCCACGCGAAGTACCTGGGTGGTGTTAGTAGATGATCTCAGGGTCTCACAAAAGCTGACATACTCGGTGGTCATGGAGGTAATCCACTCTCGTGCGTGAACGTTGCCGTGAATGATGACGGCAGGCTTGGAGCCCTTGCCACCGCTACCCCAGATGTGGATACCAGTCAAGGCTCGTCCTTGGACTGAGGTGCCCACAGTGACAATCTCGGACTGGCCAGTGTATCCAGCCTGCAGGTCACGGAGGAACTGGATGTGGTCGGCGTATGGGTGGTATGCAGTGAACCAGCTTTCGCTAGGGACTAGATATGGTCAGTAGATGTCGTCGCACTAACGAGACTCTCCACAAACCAGCATAAACGCTCATCTCTCCCTCTTCGGCAAGCGCTGCACCGACATCCTCGTTCAGCACCTTGCTCTCAGCCACCAAGGCAGTCAAGGCGTCGACATTCTCTGGTGAAACGACGACATCCAACTCGGCAGATGTGCCAGGGTTGAGGATGTGTGCAGCCAAGCTCTCGATCTCTGCCTTTACAGCATCGGTACTGGCAACACGTAGTACCTTGAAACCATTGTAGTCGACCTTCTTGCCAGCCCTTGGGACGACAGTGGCAAGCGCCGTGGAGGAAAGAAGGAGCGCCGAGGTAAGAATGGTGGTCTTCATGATAGGCAATGAATGCAACGACAGTTGTGCAGTGCAGTGCAGTATGATGCTGGGGAGAGAGCCTGCTTTTAAGTCGTGTAACCGTCACACAAGCCCATAAACCACCTTCCCATCCAGTACGTAGTACCGCGGGAACCGTCCTACCTGTTACCCCAAGTCTCGCATCGATTAGGCAGGTACTCACCCCGTACTCCTGGCTGATCTCCTGCAAGCACGGGAGATGTACACTCGAAGGAGCTCAACGTAGATGATGCAAGCGCGGGAGGCTAGCAGTCCAAGGAATTCGGAACTCCACATCAAGATCTGGACGGTGGTTTAATATACAGCATCACTTGGCATGTTCTCTGGACGACGTGGGTAGGAGAGTGTGATTGGCGCGGAGGCGTTGAGCTTATCGCATTAGGCAGGTGCGGGTTCCGGAGACTACGCTGGCTTGTCTTGGCTACGAGATAGGCCAAATACAAAGTCTAGGCAATGCCAGGTACGTGATCTCGTGGTGCTCATTAGCATGGCGACATACCGCAGGGTGGTGAGTACCTTAGCGAAGCGAGTGCCTGGATGGGAAGGAGGATGAAGATTGACAAGCCTGGATGCGCCCCAATAATAACGTGCTCGTATGCGTGTAATGCGAACAACACCACCGCGTTCTTTCAACCACTTGGAACACCCAGCTCTCTCAACACATTCGCGTAGCCGAGCCTCAACCATTCGTCCACATGCTTCTGTTCCGATATCCATACGCTTCCTAGCATGCCTCCAGCATTCGCGCTCGCTCCCTCTGTGGTCCCTCTGCGACGTGGGACGACCACGAGACGATCGGCCCACATGATGACGTTATGGGGAGGTGTTTCCTCCTCACACGTGCCCATGAGCGTGCGGCACCGCGCAATGAATGTCTTGTACACATCAAGAACAGTCGAAGCGGGCGTATTCGAGAAGCCATGACTGAACTCATGGACAAAGAACTGGAAAGGTACCTTCTTTGATGAGTCGGTAAGAGATGACATGATGTGGTCGAAAGCATGTGGCGGCCCTCTCAAGCCCTGGAGGTGCTTGTGTATCCTGCTGCATCCACCCTTCTCCCCACAGTTGAAGATGACGTATAAGTTTGGAAGTTTTCGTAACACTTGCAACATGACATCAAAGTCATCTAGGTCAAGGGCTTCGTACTGACGCTTGTACGAGTCCAGAGTCAACATGAGTAGTTGCGGCCTGTCGACGCAGAATAGGTTGAGTGCTAGGTCGTGCGTGCCGTTGAGTTGTGTGATGTTGAGTCGCTCGTCTGGACAGAACATGTCGCTGCCAGGGCCATATTTTCGTGATTTGTCAAAGGCATGGTTCGTGGCGCCTACGGTGTGAGGTTTGGTTGCTAGTGCTGGACAGATCCGGAACTCCATCTGGCCAGGGTGTGAGTAAGGACTGGTGTGACTGTTGCCGTTGCTGGACTAGCTTACCGGGTAGCCTTCGTGCTCGAATTTGATAGAGTCATTGGGGCCGTAGACAATGACACCTTCAGAGACAAGCTTGTCGAAAGATTCGGTGAGCGCTGCCTCTGTGACGTTGTCCATGTTGAGCTGCTGACTGTTCGGTGAGTTGTTGCCCAGGTGGTGAGTCGAGCGCGTGGAGTAACGAGACACAAGGCCTGTGCTCGAAGCTACGGAGTTAGTGCCGTATAGCCGGACTGAGCAAAACACCACAAAGGAAACGGAAAGAGAAGATGAAGTTTATGTAGCATTCGCAGCTAACCCATCCAAAGAAAGACATGCAGCACCAAGAGATGTCGCCAACCAGAAGTGAAAATGCCATCGTCGATTATAAAGTATATGCCCCTTTCCAAGATGCAGTCTCCCAACCGCAGAGATCAAGCAGTGTACATGGATGTGGGCGCAATGCCGGGGTATCGTGGTATCGTATGAAGAGGTAGAACTATGAGGTCTCAGGCTTGGCGGACAGCGGCCTCTCTACCAGGACATAGTCAGCACTGGTAGTCGATGTAGGAGTCGGTGTCTCTGGTAGCGCACCTGGCATGTTTTGGGACTTTGAGGCAAGGGGGCTGGCGGCCCCTTGTGACCGAGCGGCGTCTTGCTCGCGCTGGGTGTCGCTCTTGGCTGGGGGCGAGTTGCTCTTTGCCTGGTTGAGGCGCTCTTCGGCGGCCTTGAGCCTGGCCTCGAGGGCCTCGAGCTCCTTGGTCTGGGTCGTGACTGCCTGCTTCCTGCGCGCCTGTCAGCGGGCTCCAAGTAGCGGTGAAGAGGGCGGGCCGTACTTCTCCAGGACCGTCTTGTCCAGGGTCGCGAGACCTTCGTCCAAGTTGAACAGGCTGTCGAGCTCCGACATGAAGTTGCGGGCTAGGGTGCTGCGCGCGTGGTCAGTCTCAGACAGGCGGGAGCTATGCTAGCGCCGGGAGAGCTCACGATTGAGGGCGGTTGTTTGGCTTCCAGCCTTGGTCTGGGTCGTCCATGGTGGCCGAGTGTGCAGGGTACGAGGAAGTCATGGTGATGGGATGGGGAGCAGGAGCGGGTTATGCAAGAAGCAGGCGGCGTGGGGAGGCTCGGGGACGGTGGATATATTTATGGGCTGTACAAGAGTAGACAAATATGGGCAAGTGGCTCAGCGGATCAAAGATGTTTCATGCAACTCAGCCAGACCTGGGGTGGAGGGGAGGGAGCATAATATGGCGACCCTGGAATAGAGAGGGAGGGACGATTGCAATGTTAGGAAAAGGGGACGCCTATGCCCCAAGCTAATTTGGGCGTAGATCGGAGGTGGAGCTTGGAGGAGCGAGGGATCAATGATAGTTTGAGCGCCGCTCCCGAGTGCCCGACGAAGAATGGCCGACGATACGGGCACAACGACAACGACAGGACGTTGTAGGTGCAGGTGCAGCAGGACGTGGAGGCATATAGGGCTATAAAGCTGTGCTATCCCAAAGTATCGCAGTACATCAGGGCCCGCTGTCAGGTCTGGTTCTGGCCCCGCGCCCGCGTGAGGCGACGTGAGGCCGGACGCGCCTGATTGGCTGTGGCCGGGGGCGCCCGATGGGGGCTTCAGGCGGCTGGGCTGCGAAACCCCGACGACAATTTGCGACATTGCGACAATCTCCCTCGACACCACCAAGCCCCCGTCCATCTCGCTCAATTTCCCCGCCCGCCGCGCCCATCACGACTCTCGCATGCGATGCCCGTCTGCCCGCCGTAGCAGCCTCTCCGCCCACCGCGCCCGCGCCCGCAGCCGTGGCTCCCCTTCCGCCCCAGGCCCATCGCCCTCGCGCTGCACACGCCTGGGGGATGAATACTAGCGGCTCCGCCTACACCAACCTCGAGTCGCTGCTGCTGTTCCAGTGCCTGCATGCCTACGGTGTCGCCCCGTCCGTCTTCGGGCGCATCTCCGACGTGCTGAAGAAGCACCCCGACGTGGCCGCCCACAAGTACTTCCAGCCCGGCCGCCTCAGCCCCGATGCGCTGCGCAACTTCTACCTCGAGCGTCTGAAGCGGGAGCTCGAGCACGAGCAGGGCGGCGACAGCGATGGCCCCAACGGGGAAGTCACGAACCCGGCCAAGAGAAAGAGGCATAGCCCAAGTCTGCCGACGGTGCAGGAGTCGCTGCAGCACCAGCACCTGATCCCGAAGCTCGTCACGAAGCTCTACGCGTCTTATCGATATGAGATCACGGAGCAGATCCGGATAGAGGAGGAGCGCTACGAGCGACTGCAGCGCGACATCCAAGGCATCGAGCGCGGAGAGTGGGACGAGCAGCTGCGCGAGAGAGCAAGCGGACGAACGCCGACCTCGCGAAGCCCTACGCTGCCCAGGAAGTCGCCGCATCTCGCCCCAAAGACGCTGCAGCCGAATGCGAACCCCACGCCTGCCCAGAATGGCACGCGTGGAGCGCCCGCCATCGCGCCTTCCCCAGATCCATCTCAACAACAGCCGGGATCCGCGCTACCACACCCGAACGGACACGCTTCGCCATCCCAGCGCAAGAAGCCGCATCCTCCCTCGGATGGGCGACGGACGCCTTCGACACCGCAGCCAAATCCAAGTCAGCCACATGCACCGTCGCGATTCCAGCACCCGCCGCAACCTCACGCCAACTACAACTACCCCCAGAACATACAGCCCCAGCCAGGCTCGCACCAGAATGCCGGCCATCCTCCGCAACCGCCGTCACCAGCGCTGGGGTCTCCTGGGCCTCAGTTCCAAGCCCAGCCAGGTCAGAACTACGCGATGAATGGCGCGCCTCAGTATGGGCCACCGGGCTCCCAACCGCCATACCCTCCACACCAGCAGTTCCCCATGCAGCAACCTTCAGGGCCTCATTCACCCGGGGTTCACCATGGGCAACAGCAGAGGGCGCATTATCCCCCTCCCGGTCACCAGCCCTACCACCCGCTGCAACCGCAAATGGCCCAGCCACCGCCCCAGGCAGGCTTCATGCTTCCACCGTTCCAAGTTGCGCCGCAAGACCCCTCGCGCGTCCACCATCAAGCCGCCGTGCCGCCGCACCACCCTCAGGTCTCCACACCTGCGAGCAATCGGCAGCAGCCCAGAGCAAACATACAGACTCCCGGCACCGGCACCGGCAGATCAGGCGCGCCTCAGATGCATCCCCTCGTCATCCAGGCGAGACAGTCTTTCTCCACGCCGATGAACCCGCGCTCTCCGCACAGCGCTCTAGCGACCCCCGTGTCAGCCAAGAGTCTTTGGAAACGATCGAGCTTTACTGGGACACCGGGAAGCTCTGCGAGCCCGCGTCCCGAAGTGCTTCCTCTCGACGACGTACCGCCGCTGATCCGGCCAAAACAGACACCACCAAAGACGAAGACGCAGCGCAAATCGCGGACAAAAGGCAAAGGCAAAGACGCAGAGCAAGAGTCCACGATAGACGTCGAGACACCACAAAACTCTCATCACCACGACCAAGAAGACGACTCTTTACTAGAGCCCGAGACGCGGTCCGGACGTTCACGGAGAAAAGCTCCTGCGAAACGAACAAGGCCCGGCAGCATAGCCTCCTCCCGAGCAGGTGGCTCTGTGCGGGATCGAAGTCGAAGCCGGTCCATCCTCTCGCATACCGACACAGTAGCAGGTGACAACGAGTCGCAAGCTGGTCGTCGCATCAAGTCAGAGCGCGGAAATTCGGTGGACCCCACTGAAGAGGAAGGTTCTGTTGGAACACCGTCACACATGTCCACACGACGCCGTGGAGCAGCTCCGGCCTCATCACTCTCATCACGTCGAAAACGAAATGCCCGCGAGGCCTCTCTTGAAGAGAATGACGATGCGTCCTTCAGCACCCCAGGCCCACCCAAGACGCTGGTCGCGCCTCGGAACTTCGCCCGCATGACGGCACCCATGATGTACGATATCAACTCGCACAAACATGCCTCAACATTCAACACCGCCGTGCGCGCGAAGGATGCCGAAGGATACTACGACATCATCAAGCGCCCTACAGATCTCTCGTCCATCAAGAAAGCGATCGCAACGGGCTCAAAGCAAGTTGCCGCAGCCGCAGCCGCGTCGGATAATCCCACAGGGAGCCCCGGCGGTGTCATGGGAGGCGTCGTAGAGTTACCTATGACGGCTGACAATGTCCCGCCAAAGGCCATAGTCAACGCTGCGCAACTGGAGAAGGAGCTCATGCGCATGTTTGTCAACGCCGTCATGTTCAACCCTGGAGAGGACGGTGTGGTGAACGATGCGAGAGACATGTTTCAGACAGTACAAGGCCTAGTCAGTACTTGGAGGGACGTCGAGAGGGACAGCGGTCGTGCGGGAAATGAGGGTACTCCATCGGTTGAAGAAGAGGACCTGCCCACCGCGAGCAAACGAAGGAAGATATAGTATAATCCTCGAACGGCTAGGCATGATTGATCACAGCATGGAATGGAGTTGGCGGTGATTTGGAGTATACATCGATACCATGTCACGACACTGCTGCGGCAGGCTACCACTTTTAGAATTGAACATTACCCATCTTGACCGTCTTCATCATCCACGCAGCAGTCAGTAACACCGTCCACCTCTACACTTCTATCTTGTTGGTAGATTGCTATCCCTAGTGATGTCGAAGTGACTGCTATCTCAGGCTCTCTTCGGGTGGACCCTTTGCTCAGGCTCTTTTACTTTGAGGTGAGAGACGGTGACCTCGAATACCTGCGCCCAGCATATAAAACACTGCGAGGTATCTTTTCTACCTCCATCTCTCCTACCTTAGCAAGTCTGCTTGTCTCGCACGCTGACGACCACCAGCTGCAACTATCTGTCACTCCATGATGGATATCTCCAAGACTACTACTCCTCCAGCAACACCGTCGCGCGCCTCGATTGATACTGCCACCAGTTCCGAACGATCAGCTGTCTCCATGCATCCACCCACGATGGATAACAGCGACGACTTTATCGAAATTCCGCACGTTCCAGATCTCGTCGATATCACCCCGCCCCAGATGCTCATGCGAACGCCTATCAACATCGAATGCGGTCCGGACCTCGCGACCAAGATTATCTTCCACAAAGAGATGATTTGCTGCCACAGCAAGCAGCTCAGCAATCTTTTCGAAAAAGCGAAGCCCACCATGATCCACTACGAGAAAGCCGATAAGGTCCGCGATGAGCTGGCCCAATACGTATTCCCCGAGGTCACTCCGAAGGAGTTCGAAACCAATCTCTTGGATAAGCAGGTATGTCTTGTCAGTATGCCCCGGATGTAGATACCCGAGCATCAGCGGCCATTCCGTTCTGTTTAGTGGAAGAGCTGAGCACCATAAGCCTATGTTAACGATACATCGCCTCAGTTACTGACGGCTATTCGCACGTAGGCTATAGGCCTGTTCAGTTCTCTTCCTTGCACAACTTCCGCTTTCGATAGTCAAACTCTAACATCCCATAGGCCAAACCTCTGATCATGAAGGCATACGACAACTATCCTCTGTTCGGATATTCCAAAGGCGTCAAATCGGTTATCATGGACGCCGTAGCAGGAGAAACCCACGCCAAGAACGTCAAGAAGGTGGTACCGAAGTCAGCAGTGGACTTGCCTCTAGCAAGCCGTTTGGAGAATCTCAAGCCTCAGGCCGTACACGCCGTAGCCTCGCTGCTTTTCGCCCGACTCCACGCCATCAACAAGGCTGAGATCCGCTATGCTGAGAAAGATGCTCTGAAGGCCGCCGCACAGCACCGCATTATACTCCCCGATGTTGAAGAGTCCACGGTTCGAGCACTCATGGAGTGGATGTACCAGAGAAAGTTTCCGTTGATGGAAACCGAACAAACCTACGCTGTGATGAAGCTCGCTCAACAGATTGGCGTTGGGGTACTCGCCACAGAATGCCACACAGCGCTATTCAGCGCCACTAACGCCAGCATCGAGCGCGCCGATGCCGACGGTACCTCTTTCCAAACTCTGCTAGGCTATGGCACGAAACCCGCCGCTGACGACATCATCGAGGTCGTCTTCCAACACGCCATGAAGGACGAGAACGCGCCCAAGGACCTGAAGGGCCTCGTCATCGACGCCCTGGCTGGGTATCTTGATCCAGAACTATGGCAGCATGTTAAGGGTCAGATCAATCATAGGACCGCACTGCAGATTATTGAGTCTATGGTTAGCTTGCGAGCGCTTGTCAAGATTGAGATGGACGGCCAAGACAGTATCAAGTCTGAGAGCCAGGAGCTCTCTAGCGCATCCACTCCTGAGAACATGGAAGTGGACGGGGACAAGAAGCCCATTCACGTCAAAGAGCAGAACGAAACCCACGTTTGAGGACGCCATCCGTTCGCTGCCGCAAAATCGACGAAGCCCGAAGCTGATGCAGACTTCCAGGAAGTAGGAAGGTAACGCAGTGAATGCGACGGGGAAAAGTACATTCTGGAGGAATCTACGGATCGTAGATCCCTCATACATATTAGCGATTGCTTTCTGCGTCTCATTTCTTGCTTTCTACGCGCATTCCAACGAGGAGATGGGGAGTATTACTAGCATATTATTCTTCTGATTCTTCTGTCCAATCGATGGTTGCACATGTGACCCTTCGGCTCGTAGTGGTGTAGTGGTGAAGGGCTTCAGTATGTTCTACGTCATTTTATGTCCTTGCAGATCAAGGTGGGTGGACTCTGGATACGCTTACTTAGGAGCATGTGTCCTAGGACGCTACGCTTATACTGTCGACAGCCTGTCCTGTATGTGGTGTCACATCGGCAGTTTGAACGTAACACCGCGTATTGGTTCGTATGGGGAAGGGTCTTCGATCCAGCAGCCGCCCGAGATTGTTGATGCCTTCGTTTAATCGATACAAAGTCTTCAGTGGCGAAGTAGTGCTTTTGCGCAACGCTTTCTCAAAAAGCTGGTGTGTGTATCCCTTGCGTACGACAGTTTGAGCGAGTCATCTCCCGACAACCTGGTCTAGTTCCGGGAGCCTTCAGCGGGGAAGGCGGGGACTCGAGAGCCATAGCGGCTGCCGCGGGTGTGGTGTACGGGTTGCACTATGATGTAGCTTCGAAGGAGAGCATGCCGTTGACTGGACAGTTTCATGAAACCATAGCATACTACTGCGTAGCTTTCCCAAGGTCACGTCATATCCCCACTGATTCCACGTTATCTGACAATTTTTCCTGTTCGAAACGTATACGATGCTGAGGCTAGGAACAGTGGCGTTTTTGTCGATACTTTGTGGGAACACAGATGTACCAATCATCTCGGCAAAGAAAAACCCATAGCGTCCTCGAACCACTTACACGGTTTGTACGACACGTTACATGTCCAAGCTTTGCTACTGTACCCTAAATCGCCGAGGGTATGGCGTTTTGTTATAGCGTACGTTGCTTCATCGCCCAGTGGAAGGCTCATCGTAGTCTACCGAGGGTATCGATATAGTATCGATCGTGAATATGGCTGTTCGATCGACCAAATCCGCGGCCATCATCGATATTGCTCGACTGGAACATCCCGTTGGGATCGAGAAACGCGTCTAACAGTCCTTTTTGGGGTAGATCCTCCGCTTCATGTGCACTCTTCCCGTCGAGATGATGCATCTTGATCGGCCCGCCGGGGGTAGTGACAAGCTGCCGCGGTCTCTACCCGTGACTAATGCCACGTGGGAGGCGGTTTCATGCCTACAATGAGATGCGGTGTGCCGATGTCATGAACGGAACCTGACAGAGAACAAACTTCCGTGATTTTCGTCGCTTTGGGTCATTTAACGCGTCGCATACCTTTCCTTCCCCTTGGAAGCCTCCCAAAGTAGAGCTTTTCCCGATCTTCCCAACGACCCTTAGTGGCGTAATTGTAGTAGGTCCAGCCCGTCTCAGTTTTGCTAGTGAAAAGTCGCAAGAGGCAATGTGTTTGGCGCAAAATGGTATTTCCCCAGGAAAATCCTCTGTTGTGCAACTTGAGCCGAATAGCCTACGTAGCTGCCGCCGGCTTGCTACATGACACAATGTCACACGTCCAACGGAAGCGGGATATCCAGCGCAAAACACCGTCTTTGCGCGTACAAAGACTGGCAGGAACAGCGAGATGGAGAAATTTGGAGGTAAAGCCAGAGGCTAGAGCTGGAGATGTTGCCGCTTTCGCTGCGCGTTTCTTCTCTAGCGTTGAACTGTGATACGAAGTCTTTTCCTTGATATCCCCGTCCTACAAAGGAGATCTGGTCTTGAAAAGGCGGCTTGTCATCCGCAATTGTAGGGATGCATCAGCAATCATGTTCCAATTCTCAGAGCTTTTACAACTACCCCACATCTTCCGCAAAGGCGAAGCACGATCAATTCGACATCGGCAAGAACAAGAAGATGCCGTCGAACTGTCTGACATGTCCAACACAACACCTCTCCAATCGACAGACGTCTCTCCACGCTCTTCATTGGACTCAACGCGCTCGGCCTCTTCATCATCATCATCTTCCAGTACTTCGTCAGCAGCTTCACGATCATCAGCCTCACCGAAACGCCGATCATCACGTCTTCCGACCCTCTCTTCGCCATACTTATACGAAACGCCGGTCTCTTTCTCTGGGCCGCGGGGGTGCTCGCACGGGATGTATCGTTAGAGACGTGTGAGCAGCGCTCAAGCTTTCGAACATGCGAGTTATCTTATTCTCGGCACACTTGAAGGTTGGCGATATCATTCTCGACATATCCCAGACAAGGAGATGACCGCACGTTCTTTTGGAGAAGGTGAGATCTCCACTGGCCGTCCGGCCTTAGTGAGAAGATCGGGAGGTATTCTCGGAGAAAGTCGTTGGAAGCTCTGGCTCTGCTGAATGATCAAGTTTCAGGATGGGATGCAATCGCTTAGATATAGAATCGGGATGTAGTTGGATCGGGTCAGACTTGTGAATATGTGGCGGTTGAGAGTACCCATGTACTCTGAAAAGTGTTTCGTTCCGTATATGATACCCATTTACATATTAAGTGTCCATCATTTCCCAGAACACTGTGAAATTACCGAATGTTAAATGCAACAAAACTTGGGGAATTGCGCTCGGGTCAGGTGGTAGATGATTCCAGTGGTGCCTGCATGCGTCATACGTTAACGCTAACCAAGTCCAGGTTAGTGCGGGACATTTCCGCTTCCGATCCGCCTTGACATCCGATTCCAGGAACTCGACTTCGTCAAAGAATGTGAAGTCACATACTCTGAGATCATTCCGACGGCCAGCTACTTTGCGCAACTTTGTTTCCGCTATTGTTGCAGCTATCTGCATCGCTGTCTCCACCGTCTCCAGAGCAGCTCAGGCCGCGATCCAGTCCATTTTCTCAGACAGCGGCATCGTGCTCTCAGTTGCTAACATAAGTCCATCGGCAATGTAGACTTCATCAACATCAGAACTGAAGTGTGTAGATTGAGCCACATCACCCGGCGGTCAGACGAGAGTCAGCGTGATCGCCGTCGTCTGACATGTCGCCATCCCCAGTGAGCTGTCGCGAACCCTCACCCGCAACAGATATCAAATCCTCCTTGTCTGGGTGAGTGTATTCGCCCACATCCCAGTGTTCTGTTTGGAAGTGGGTGATGAACACTACATGCAGACCTTTAATGCTCACCTTGCAGATAGGGCAATGCCTGAGACCTTGGTTCTGAACAGCTAGGCTCCACACTCTTGGGACATTCCGGCGAATATGCTCTCTCAGCGCTTTTTCGACATGTAATTCTACGAGACCACGGAAACGAGGGTGTTCCCTTTCCCACACAGCGCCCAAGGCTAAGAGCAACGCGCGATTGGCACCACTCGGCTCCAGTGCTCTAAGAACGGTCGTTATGTCCTTGTACAGCTGTGTGGTGTGGTATTCCAATGACTCTTCTGGTGTTTGCCGACATACGAGCTGTATTGATACAATCTGAGCCATCAGGATATCGAGATGCTCTAGTCGCAATGGCAAGTCTTCCACGTACCGAGAACGGACGGTAACAGCGGCACTGGTCTTGGTTGCGAACACCACCGTTGGACAACATGGCGGTATAGTCACAGCCTGTCCGGCACGCTGAACGAAGGCGATCCCGTTCTCCAACTCCTGGCATACACTTGCGTAGTTTGGCGCGACATCTCCGGCAAGATCTATGAGATACTTGTTCAGCGTCGCCAGATTATGTGGCATAGGCGGGTACACGATGTATACGCGCACACCGGTAATGACGTGTATGGTGCTGGTGCTCATCAAGGCTGATGCCTCCAAGGGAAGAAGAGCTCCACAGGACATGATCGAAGTGGTGTCGATGGATGACCGGGTGAGCGTACTCGAAGCCTCGTTCTCGCCCTGAAATAGTCTGAGACATCGGTCTATTACAGGCGATCGGAAGGAGAGCGTCGTTGCGTATACGGCATATTGTTGATCGTCCAAATATTCCACAAGCGTTCGAGCTATACTCTCCCGACTTGTCTCACCTTCTAAGAAACGGAGAGAAAGAGGAGGGGGTCTAGGCGGATACAGTTGCGCTTCGTCGACCCACGACTGGTGCTTCTCCAGAATCTTTCTCAGTGAGCGCGGGTGTGGCCAACCAGCGCCTGTTTTGTACAGTGTCAATTCCGGAATGTCAGTGACTTTGGAGGCACCATAAACAGTAGCAGAACTCTGGACAGCGTTGCCATTCTCAACACTAAGAAGGTTGACGCGGCCAGGGATTATGAGATCTGCGAACTCTGCTGCACGAGCAGCTGGACATGACTGAAGCTCGCGGATGACAGGATCGAGAGTCCACAGGTGGAGGGTGGGCGATGTCGCCTTGGGATTGCCTGACATCATTGATATTGCGATTGTCGTGGCGGCGAAGGCTGGGTTGGAGTGGGCGCAAAGGGAAAAGAGTGTTGGAGTGGAGCATGAGGGTGTGAGTGTTAATATCTATACGAAAGAAAAGCTTACACTAGCTTCTAGGCGGGTGCGCCATTTTCTTAACAGTGAAAGTGCCTCGCACTTCTTGCTCCTGCCGCGATCGGTTCGAAGAGAGAAGGAGCATGTCCGTAGCCGCGGATGCGGTAGCCCAGATTAGGCTTAGTCTAAGGAATACCCACGCACATGCCATGCTGGGCTATTCGAATAACCGACACAGATGGGTATACGCGACATCCTCTTTGGAATATGTACGGATCAACAATAGATTTCCGCGGTAGGCGCTGTCGACTTCCGCGGAGCAGGGTTAAGCGGAAGAGGTATGGGATCGTTTGACAAGATATATACCTCTTGACCATCTCCGTTCCATAACGAATGTTCTCTCAGTATCTTTTCCGCACCAAGCCAATCACAGCTGAGTCCGCGACCCTCAGCTTCGCGTTTCCGTCCCCTTAGTAACATGTCGGACATGTCAGCCTCAAAGCATGACAGTGAAAAGGCTTTCAGCAACAATGTCACACACGATCCAGTACCGAGGATCCTGATATCGTCAACTTTGAAGGACCAGTCGACCCAGAAAACCCCATGAACTGGTTTCCTAGAAAGAAAATGACGCAGATAGTCATCGTCACGTCCATGACCCTTCTCTCGTAAGTGACACACTCTCCACTCGCCTAGCATCCTCACATTTTCTAGACCTATCGGCTCCACCATCAACGCCGCTGCTACTCTGGATATCCTCAAACATTTCAATTCCACAAACGAGACCGTCGGTACCTTTGTGACGACCATCTTCCTTCTGGGATATACGTTCGGACCACTAGTCATCGCGCCACTGTCATAACTATACGGCCGGGCTATCTTGTACAAGTTTTGCATATTCTTCTTCGTCGTCTTCAACGTGGCATGTGTAGTATCTGATAGCCTAGCTTCTTTAGTCGCATATCGTTTCCTGGCCGGCATTATAGGCTCATGCCCCGTTACACTCGGTACTGGATCTATCGCTGATATGGTGGCAACAGAGAGGCGTGCTGGAGCCATGGGAGCGTATATCATCGGCGCTGTCTTGGGGCCAGCCATTGGTCCCGTTATTGGTGGCTATGTTGCCCCGGCAGCGAGTTGGCGCTGGACCTTTTGGACCATGGCTATCGCATGCGGTGTCGTGACCGTGGTGTCCATCTTGTTTGTGCGTGAGTCATAACCTTACGTCCTGCTTGAACGCAAGGCACAGCGTTTGCGAAAGGAGACGGGCAATTTGCGTCTACAGTCAGCGTTAGACACTGGGAAGACGCCAAGGAGTCTCTTTGTCTTCTCCATCACCCGTCCACTGAAGTTGCTCTCATCCCCGATCGTCTTCTTGCTTTCCCTCTACGCCGCTATCGTATACAGCTATCTCTATGTCTGCTTCACTACTTTTGAGATCGTCTTCTACGGCCAGCACGGTTTGTCAAGTGGCGAGGCTGGCCTGGCAACACTCGGTATAGGCATCGGCTCGGTGCTGGGATGTGTTATATGTGGCGTGGCTGCGAATGCCGGTCTCCAAGAGGTTGACCGAGAAGCACGGTGGTGATCCAAAGCCAGAATACCGACTGCCACCCATGATACTTGGTGGCTTGTGCACGCCGATTGGCTTGTTCTGGTACGGGTGGTCCGCGCAGACTAGAGTGCATTGGATTGTGCCTACATAGGTATTCTTGGCACGGTCTTCGTTGGCATGGCATGGTCTTCACATGGTCTTCACCTATGTAAGACTTCTTTGTGGCATCTCGGTGACCTTTCATCAATTATATGGCTAACAACAAGTAGATGTCGAGCGCTATGTACCTCGTCGACGCATACACTGTTCATGCTGCTTCTGTAACAGCTGCAAGCACGATCTCTCGATGTCTTCTCGGGGCCCTCCTTCCGCTTGCTGGCCCTGCCATGTATGATACACTAGGACTGGGCCGGGGTAACTCACTTCTCGGTTTCATCTCCATTGCCTTCTTCCCAGTAAAATCCCACCTGTATCTTTGTCGGTAGCGATTGCGAAACGTCAAGCTTTTCAGGGTGGAAATTTGACTGACTTTTGCAACCTATTGCTTGAGTACACGGGTGACGGTATCTGGTTCATAGATGTCTGAAACGGGAGTGGATATGCCAGCTCTAAAACTGTTCATACGCTGGATCATTAAACCTGGTGGTTTAATCACTGCTCTGACACGAATGTTTGTTGGTGTTGCTTTTTTCCGGAATACCGAGATATCCTCAGAATTACCGGGGACAACGCTCATAAACTCGAGCACGACCTCCACAAGAAGGCAGACTGCGGAAGCGGAATTATTGGGAACAATATGGTATCGACCCGTCGCAAAAGACAACCTTCCCGCGGCTCTGTGCCACATAAATTAACCGCAGCAGTCACATCCCGGGCGGGTGCATTCTGGTGTTTCGGCTGTCTATCCGTAGCCGGTTCCACATCGGCTATCCGCGCTAAGGCACCAAGCAACCGTGATTTTCTGTTCTGCGCGTCTTAGCTGCATCAAGACTGCACGCCAACAGGCTTAACGCGTCCCCAACCAATGGCACGCTTAGACGATCGGCAGCAGCACGGGCGCACGTCTCTACTAGCACCCACGGCGCCTGTCCTCTATCACTGTTATGATGGGCCTCGTTGCCGTTTGTGCCCTGCTACTGGCGCCGCTTAGGGAAGGCGGGATGCATTTGCGGCAAGCGGCTAGCATAGAGATTAGACAGCCGCTACTAAGTTGTAGCAGCGCTAAAGTAAGTTCTTGTAAATAGAGGCTGCGTGCAATCTCTTACGCTATAGAAAATTAAACCTTAGCTATTTTATGCATAATAGTAACTCTACTTAGATATAGTAATTTCTACTATTTAAATACTAAACTTATATTAAGAGTAGCTAGTAATATATTATAAACTAAATAGTAAAGATAAGTATTTATAGCTAACTTATAAGTTTATATAATATATTTCTAAGTAGATATATTATAAAGCTAATAGAATATAGTTTTATTTAAACTAAATAGTAAGTACGCTAAGTTAAAGAGACTCTAAAGTATCTATAAATTATCTAAAAATATCTAATAGTAAGCTAAGTAGCTAGAAGCGTATTTCTAAACTACTTTCTCTATTACTATACTATATTTACTCTATCTAATATACTTTAGCTATTTTTAGTTTTCTAGTTATTAATGTAGTTATTTACTTCTAGAGTATATCTAAACTTATCTATAGTAGAAAGGTAAGCTACTTCTTTTAACTTAATATAATTTATAACTATATATTTATTAGTAGTTATATAATATATTAATAAGCTATACTTATATAATATACTTTTACTAAGAACCTACTTCTAAAGTATTTATACTTTAAATACGTAGGCTACGCCTTAGAATATATTTAGTAAAATTAGCTTCTCTAATATACTATAATAAATCTTAATACTTATATAACTTATTTAATCTAAAAATACTAACTATAGTTATAGAGTTAGTAGGTAAAGTAAACTTTCTATTTTTAATATCTTAATTAGTAGAAAAGATAATAGAAAAAGGTTTAACTACTATAGAAATATTAGTAAAGTATTCTTAATATACTACTAACTTAGTAGGCTTATTAAGCTATAATACCTTAGCTTTTACTATTATCTACTATATAATATCTACTCTTTAACTAATATTATATATCTATACTAAGCTAAGGTATTATATATAACTTATAAGTTATACCTTACTTATCTCTATAGTAAATATAGTATTATAGATTTAGATCTAGCTACCTTCTCTTTACGTAGTTCTTATATATAGATACTATAATATATTAGTAATATAATATATAGTAGGTTATCTTTACCTATACTATACGTTCTACTTCTTAACTAGCGCTATTTCTTTATCTATATAAAAGTAAGCGTAGTTCTTACACTTTAGTATCTTAAAGTATACTTAAGAAATATTAGTTATAAATTCTTTATATATAAATAAAGAACTTGTTTTTTATCTAGCTTCTTATTTTACGTTAGTACTCTTTATATAGCTTATATAGCTACTTTATATAACTTTCTATAGGTTAAAACTTATTATAGCTAGTAATATCTTATTTTACCTTTTTTAAATTTACTTATAATATATTAGTGTATAGCTTACTACTCTATATAGGTATCTTACTTCTATATTATCTCTATATATCTTTTCTTTATACCTTAGAAAGTTTCTATAAGTAGCCTTAGTTCTAGGTAGAACTAGTATTACTAGACTATCTTTATCTTTAGGTAGCTTATAGTTACTAAATAATATTACTTTTTATAGTAGAAAGGTTAGTAGTATAGAGATTAGTATTACTATATTAAATACTAGGTAATTAACTACGTACTATTAAAATAAAATAGTATTATTAAGTACTTTAGCTTTAACGTCTTCTTATAGCTAATTAAGTATCTTCTAGTTTATAATATATTAGTATTTATTAAAGTATAAATCTAACTCTCTATAATACTATATTATAGTAGAATAATAGCTTAGAGTCTCTATTTATTATATTACTAGTTACTTATTTATCTAGATTCTTATTACGTTTATAAGAATCTAGATAAAAGCTATTAACTAAGGCTCTATAGAAAGTATTATCTATTATAGTACTATCTAGTCTATTTATTATACTCTTCTTATAATATATTAGCTATATAATAAGCTAATAATAATATTAAATATACTATCTACTTATTACGCTAGAACTACTTATAAAGAATATCTACTATAGTAGTACTACTAATATTATTCTAATTACTCTTGCTAATATTTACCTTACGTGTATTAAGTAGAGATATATTATACTATTACTTTTGTATACTTTTATAATTAAGTATATTATCTATATACTTTATAGAGTTATTGTAGATAGTTTTATAGAAACTA